ATGACCAACTACAGAAAGAGAAAAAATAATTCAGGCAAGGGATCCCACCCATAAAAACCAGGCATGAGGCTGATTTGAGCAATGAATATTATTCCCCTCTCTTCCTCGCACAATTTTTTTTCTTGTGATCCAACTTTAAGTTGCCAGATTTTATTAATCAGCTGATTACTATGCAACCCTTATCTAATGTACCTTTCATTGACGCTTTTGCCATTCTGTGTTTCAGCAAGGCAGTTGCTTTTTCAAAAGCTTCCAACTTCTCATCGTGATTACTCAACTTCAGCTCGATTCTGATGTATCCCGCGGTGTATAGAAGCAGACAGAAAACAGAAAACAATATGCCTGGACTTACTGAAAAGCCACGATTTTTAGAACTGTTCTTTTGCGCTTCGGGGCAATCCATCGTGCGCACTTCAAATCTGAAGCGTCGTTGTGTAACGCGGGAATAAAAAATTTAGCAACAGCGAAAGTTTATATAGCCAACTGAATGCTATTTCTATACATCCGGTTTACCCACTCGCGTCTGAGCATAGGAATGATGCGATTAAGGATGATCCAATTACTTAACCATTTGGAAATGATGCATTTCACCTGCATTGACATGTTTTTTTTCCTTATAGCTTACCGATTGTTCCTTGAAATTAACCTCATTTCCTGTGTTTATTTACATTTTAGAGGGTGGCTTTATCTATATCTAAGGCCCATTTTTTTTTTCCAGAAACAATTTACTTACAACTGTAGTAGCTACAGAATTTCCGCAAATCTGCTCAATTTTCATGTACGCTGAACCTTCAATATATAGTTTGGAGCAACGCTAAACTGACTCTTTACAGCGGAAGAGGGAAAGCTTTGAATAGGGGACACTTTGAACCAGTCACTTTGTTTAGAGAATAAAGCTTCAGATCTAGCTAATCGTTGTTGCAGTAAGAGAAAAAGAGAAAGTCCTGACAGGCTGACATGCAATTTAGCTCCCTTAGATTTATTTGTCTTAAAAAAAGGGGGGGGGGGGGAAATCAAGATGCGGTTTTTGCTTTGCCTAGACTTACCTGTCCTTTCTAGAAGCGTAACTATCGTTTTGCTATGTGATACGTTTTGCAGTAGGCGTTGCGTAATCAGTATTTTCCGCATTTGGACAGCGAGCCTTCTCAGCATGCACACGATAAAAAATTCCCCATGGCTTTTTTTAAGTTCATTAGGACAAAATGACAAAAAAATCTGTCAAACTGCGTGGATTTGTAGATCTGAAATACTGTTTGTTACTAGTTTGTCGCTGGGGTAAACCTGTCAATAGAAACTTTATTAGGTAAATTTCGTACAAAAGCGACTACTGTACTTCACGCATAAGTACACCTATTTATTGAAACTGAAATTTCAAATTTTAACCTTCATTTGCGAAGATGAGCTTCCTTAAAAGAGTTAGCTGCACGTTTTGAATTTTTTTTTCAGGAAATGTGGTCTTATAAGGGCTGCATTATGCAAAACCATGCCGTTTATCGTTTAGTGAGCGGTTCCTTTGATATCAACCTACGCCACAGGATTCGAATAACCGTAACTAAACAAAGAAAGTAGCAACTGCTTTTTGCGTGCAAAAATTTGACTGTGGAGTTCTTGAAGAGGCTCGCATTTTGACTGTGTTTGTCTTTAACGACAGATGATCAACAAGTAAGCGTACTTCTCTGCCTGCGTTTAGCGCACGGCAGAGATATATCATATCTTATGCTTTCGATCTTTCCCTATGCAAAATAAGGATGTAAAGTAAATTTCACCATGCTCACTGACGTACTTTTTTTACTTTGATAAGATTTATTATTTTTAAGATGAATAGAATATCAAGTCAAAAGCACCCTGGAAATGTATCAGCGACATTATGGGACGTGTAAGTATTTGTGCTTGTCGCTCGTGAAGAAAGCAAAAAAAAAAGAGTAGACATAATCTGCGTGAGAAAATAAAGGAAAGGAAAAATCCTACACAGCAAATTTTACGCCTACTAGCTGTGTTTTGTAATTAATATATTGAAAGTGATGACAGTTTCAGATTCACTTTGCACGTTATCCCGTGTGCGTAGGTTGGGGCGCACAATTGTTCGTCATTGCGATTTTTTTCTCAGGTCTCTGCTTGCAGCTTTGCAGGGTCAGACAGGAAATATTTCTCTTTCAGTTTCAATTTCATTTTATTATCGCTTATCCTGAAAATTAGAATTTTCCGCTGTGGGCAGTTATGATCAGCACGTACAGATGATAAGCTCAAAATATTTTAGTGTTTCTGCGCAAAGTGGGTATTCAGCAAAATGTTAGTTGCAAATACACTAACTGCGCGACTTTAGTTGCAGAACATCGCTCCCAATGACACTTACGAATGGTAGTAGATAAATATTTTTGTCTTGTGTCAGAAGTGGTAAATAAATATTTTTAGAGACTAGAAGTTAAGGGAAAAAATTCCACTTAGTGAGCGATTGGAAAGGTCAAGAGTCGAAAGAGCGGAAAAGATATTCGTACGTGGAGAACTAGAGGAGAAAATGAGGACATTGTTAACAGAATTAACAAGAGTTAAACTCACGACAAGGTAAACAGATTTTTGAAAATTTGAACAATAAAAACAACTGCTCATGAGATTTCAGAGTTCCCCTTCTCATCTAATCTTATTAGTGATTCATCCTTACAAACCAAGGGTTTTTCCCAAGGGCTTTTCCCTGCAAAGGCCAAGTTTAGGGAAAATTTCGAATTAGGTATGAGTAAAAACTTGCAGATATCACTCAGACAAAGCAATTTTCTGAGAAAACACTATCACATGGCCTTCCGACTCATTACAAGTTTTGGCAGAGTGCAAAAAAATATTTGTCACTCGAAACACAATCCCTAAAACAAGCAGCCTGCGTCCAAGAAAACGCGCACGTCAGTACAGGTCAAACGCGTCACATTAAACCAGTTCAATTAGTAATCGGATCATCACTGCACAATGCATTTTAATGCTCGGACGCAAGAGGGTGAACCGGATGTAAAGAAATAGAATCATCGCGGTTGTATTAATTTTCACCACTGCTAATATATTTATTGTCGCAGTGTAAGAGCAGCACTTCTGAATTGAAGGGTTCTCTGAGACGATGGAGCACTCTGACTTGCATAAGAGCTCGAGAAATCGTGGCGTGGCAGTGAGCCCAGGCTTAGTGTTGTCTGTTGTCTGTTTGGTTCTTTACTCCGCGGGATTCGTCAGGATCGAGCTGAAGTTTGACGATCACGACCAGAGGTTGCAGGCTGTTGAAGAAGCCATTGCTCTTCTGAATTTCGAAATGAAGACCTACATGAAAGGTACAGTGATGCTGGAAAATCTCTTTTGACTCTTTTCCATTGTCTATTTGAAATAGGTGTATGTTTAGAAAAGTTCGTTAGCAATTGTGACCTGTAACCTCTCTAAGTTGGCGAACGGTCTGTTCGAAAGCTATGGGTTTGGTTCAAACTTCGTCGAAATTTCCATTTTTCGGAGTATTTAGTCTTGATTTTTTTTCCTGCTAAACTTTCTTAAGGCTTTTTAAATCATCAAAGCTCTCTCGAATAATATCCTGGATGATCATGGCCGGTTGATCCTTGATGAAAATATTTCACGGAAAGCTGTTCATCCTGGATCGGACAGACTAGCCACTCAACTTCGAGACAGAAAGATCCAAAAATATCTCCAAAATCTAAATTTTGAGAGCCCCAAACTATTTCCCTAATAGCTGTGGTGCAAGGGCGAAGTCACAATATATTCAAAGATACAAAAGATACGGGTTTGCAAGAACAAAGCTTTCCTCGCCGTTGCGCATATACATCATTCGAAAACTTCTACTTTATAATCTCGTACTCTTTTCTATAGACGTAGTACCACACACATAATTCGTCATTCCCGCCGTATTCATAATTTGCATGTAAAAAGTGTCGAAAGAACCTTGGAAATCTGGGTTAAATGTGCTAAAATATTCTTAAGCATACATGGTGGTGTCTATCAACAAAAATATGCCAGTAGCTCTGTACGAAAAAGTGAAAGCGAAGGTCAAGAAGCGGGCAGATCCTGTTATTCAGCTCTAAGTTTTGCATGTTTTCAATCCAAAGATGATAAGAGGGTCAATATTTTTTAGAAAGCTAAATAGAGGAAGTTTTAACTTGAATGTAAAGTGAGTTTTTTACCCAAACGGAAAATCCACAAAGTAACGGAAAATCCGAAAGGAAAATGTTAGAATTTGTTCCAGGAAACGTGTTTAATTACCCCCGACTCGAGGAGACTACAAAATATTCATTCGTTGGTACGTAAAGCACGTAAAGGACACAAACACGCACAGGCACACGCACAAACACACGCACACACGCACGCACACACGCACGCACACACGCACAAGCAAACACACCCACAGAAGGTGGTGGATGACACTCGAGAGAGATAAGATTTGTATGTGTAAATTTACGTAAGTTACGCAAACTGATGAATTTTTATTTGTATTTATCTTCTGAATGTTCAATTCATTATTTTGTCGGTAGATGAGGGAGCCGAAATTTCTGACAAGGAGAAAGCCGGCACGGAACGGATATTCAACAGAATCAAACGGAATATACCAAACCCTTCGCCGTTACCCGACATGGATGACGACCAGTTTGAGAATGGTTCACCTTTCAATTCTACAGATTTATTCGAAAATGGTTCACCCATCAATTATACAGATATATTCAAAAATGGTTCACCTTTCAACTTCTCAGCCCACTTGGAAGAAGCTATGAAACAAATTACCATTGGCTTACAAGCAATGATTCAAAACAGTCTCGACTCTTGCGCAAGCTCGCAAGGACCACCGGGACCACCAGGCGAACCAGGAATCATGGGTCCACCAGGAATGAGAGGAATGAGAGGATTCAAAGGGTTTGCCGGATACCCGGGTCCCCAGGGATTTAAAGGGGACATGGGTGAACCAGGTATCCCTGGGGTTAAAGGAGAGCGTGGACCCCCGGGGTTCCAAGGTATGAAAGGGGAACCAGGCGAATCGCTTTCTGCACCAACAGTAACAATAAGCCCGTCAGAGATCACCGTTAAAGATGGAAACACTGCTTCTCTGTTCTGCTCTGTTACCGGAAATCCCCCTCCGCTAATATCTTGGTCCAGAGTCGATGGTGTGTTACCTAGCAACCGAACTACTGTGACGGAGGATGGCCTGATGAAAATTGCTAATGCTGGTCAAAAGGACTCTGGGAAATACACTTGTAAAGCCAAAAATCTACTGGGGGAAGATGAACAAACGGCAACTCTTGTAGTACATAGTAAGTTATTTATTTTAGCCTATGCAGGACCTTAAGTCCAGCATCTTATTTCTTTTATACATACTGCTGTATCATTGATTAAGATCATGACAATAAAGGAAACGGTCGTCAACCTGAGAAGCTTGGATTGTTAAACAAATTCTCCTTGTTATTTCCAAAGGAAATGTCTAGAGAAAGATGTGGAGAATATGGATGCTTATGTTAGGGAATAAAGGGTTAAACTCAAAATGATGATGATCAGAAACCACAGGCAAATACTGCTTTTAAATTGGTTGCTATGCTAAAATTCCGCTTGTGCGCTTTGCATCCTGAAGAGAACAACATTTTGGGATACTTTAGTTCTCAGCGTAAAGCAGGATTGGCACATCGCTGAGGGCTTTCTCCCTTTACTGCGGTTGCCTGGGTTTTATTTCCGATACTTGCGTCTCATGTTGCATGGTAATCCTCGTCTGGCTTTCCTCTTTCCACAAAATTTATAGTCCATGTGACCATGAAACAATGGACGATTTTAGGTTACTCGTAGATGTGTGCTGCTTAATTTTTACTTTTTTATTCTTGCTCTCTTCTGACTCTTTGTGTGACTGTTCTTTTTTTCTACTTCCTTGCAGTAAGACCCAGCGTTACTCTCTTGACTGGTCCATCATTTGTAGCTATAGGAGGCAACATTACCTTCCCAGAATGCCAGGTGAACAGCGTCCCTCCAGCTGTAATCACTTGGTCTAAAAGAAATGGTGTGCTGCCACACTCCAGAGTCATTTCAAAGGATGGGGACTTAATCATCATGGATGCCAAGAGTAGTGACAAAGGCTGGTACACCTGTGAAGCCGCAAATATCTTAGGAATGGAGGTGAAAGCTACTCAGTTACTTTTTATGAATTTGAAGACCATGGAAGAGTATGGAAACCCATATCCAAAGTACATCAGAACTGGAACAGATAAAACTATCTCGGTCGGTTGTGATTGGAAAGGAGCAATATTTGGTAAATTTCCAGCACTTATGTGGACGAAAATAAACGGTCGGATTCCCTACGAAAGAGCTAAGTATCGTGGTTATGAGCTAAAGATTCGTAATCCCAAAGTTGAAGACTCAGGGAGATATGTATGCCTTGGAGTGTGGAATGAGAACAACGTCAAGGCCATGTTTTCTGTACAAATTACTATCACTAAAGGTAATGTTGAAGCGAAAAAATTCACTATTCACCTTCGAAAAATCTCGGTTTATCCCTGTCATTGTTTTATGAATCAGCAATTTATTGATGTTACAGTGTTTAAAAGGAAGCGCAAACTTAGGCTCAATGATGTAGCCAGCGATTTGGAGAGAGAAAGCCGGACGAACCATAATCAAACTACATGTATTGGGCCTTGCCCATGAAATTCGAAACAATTTCAAGACGCGACAAAAGTTTTCAGTCTACTATAGAAAATAGACAGAATGTTTACTATTCGTACTATGATGATCAGTGGCTGAGGAAAGGTTTGAATTCATACTTGAGCAGGCGCATAGCATGGGCCCAATACTTCGCCAAACATCCAAAGAGCAGAGAAGTGTTTGTTTCAAAAGCTCTGATTGAGGTCATCAATTTCTCTATGTTAGGGACCAAACAGTATTTATCACTGGGTGTGGGGAAGGGAGGGAGGATTTTGGGGGAATCACGAGGTTTTCAGAGAGAACTAAAGGGGGAGGAGGGAATTAGTTGTCGCCAACAGGGCATAAACAGGTGACTATAGAAAATTTACTGCCAGTTAACTTTCAATGGGGTTCATAAGAAAATATCAGAGCCTTATGGGGGTATCAGGTAAATTTTATCGAGACGCAGCCAAAATCCTACAAACCTGCACCCCCCCCTCCCCCCCTCACAAAGTGACGACCAGTCCCTTGGTGTGAGCGGCAGGCCTAATCAAATTAATAAAGTTTTCTTTTGAAATTTCTACGGTGTAAAGCGGAGGGTGCCATTTCGTTGAGCTCATGGGTAGGACACTTTCACTGCTACTCTTGAATACAATACTGTCCTTTCTCTAGCGTAAACTTATGCTAGCTTTACCTTTTTCCTCAGTTTGTGCCCCTGTTGGTGTAGCAGACAGAAATAAGCTGCCAGACTCGCGTATGACGGCAAGCTCAGTCAGAGGACCCCAATTTTTACCCTATTACGGACGACTGGATACCTCTTACGGAGGAGGAGGCTGGTGTTCAAAGAATAGATACACCAGCACAGATTATCTTCAAGTTGATCTTGGAAGCGTTCAGTCTGTCTGTGCCACGATGTCACAAGGTAAAGCTGGGCGATTTACTCGAGACATCGTGTCTACCTACAAGCTGTATTTTTCACTCGATGGTGTCAATTGGAATGTGTACAAGGAAGATAATGTTGAAAAGGTGAGTTGCATAATCGTAATGTTACGCATAAATTAGTAGATCTCATGGTTTTGTTTTTCATTTGTTTTTAATTTTTTCGCAGATAATTTTTTTTTTGCATCTATTTCAAATGTCTAAGCGTTCTTTCACTATTTAACACTAGTTTCAGCAAAGCTTTATGAGTACTTTCATATTTTGTTACGTCAGAAAACGTAATTCATCGCTAAATGTCTAGTCTACAATGCGAACTTGCTTTCTGGGTGATTAACACGAAGAAACTAACTCAGAACATATCCAAAAAAAATTAAAATAATGACGATGATGATATCGAATGGGTATGAGAAAGATAATGGTTGTAACAGAGACATTGCAATGGAAAGGAAAAACGTGAGATTAAGAATGGCAAAATGTCGAGAAGTTCGGCAGAATTTCCTATAAATGTGGGTTTAAAGGTTATATCCTTTCTCAGCTCACAACAAAGTTAAGCTTTAGGCCAGGTTGCATTTACTTCATGCATCAGCTATTCGTTGTCAAAGTGTTTAAAAGTGAACTGTTGTATATCAGTCTTTGGACAACTTATTCCAGCCCTTAACGCCAATTTACTAACTTCGAACCAGTGAACTGCAAAAAATGAAATGAAAGCTCTCTTACGGATCGCTTCTTTTAAGGGGACAGTCCTTTCAATGGGGAGAAATTTTGGTTCCAACGTGCAAAAAATGAAATGAAAGCTCTCCTACGGAACACTTCTTTAAAGGGAACACTTCCATTCAATGGGGAGAAATTTTGGTCCCAACTGAAAAGATGTTCTTAGAAACTGGTCACTAACAGAGTAAAAAGGGGCAACTACAGAGAGAGAAAAATGAGTGTTTCTTTTGTTTCATTCTCCATTCTCCGATGGGGTGGGGGGGGAGAGGCTTATGGGGGATCATGTAAATTTCAGTCTGACACGACTGAAATCCTCCCGCCTTTCCCCGTCCCAAGTGATAAGTAACGAGGGGTCCCTTATTTATAGCCTTTGTATCTGTTGATTCATTGAGGGGTCATCTTAATTCTGGGGACACTTCCTCTGGTTGCATTAGTTTCCACTGAATGTAGGTTCGTCTGCACGTCTTTTCCTTTCCCCAGGAGAGTTATTCGCAGGAACCATCTTTAACCTTTTAGTCTCTTTTTAATTGCAGGTTGTGAAGCAAGAGACACGTTATCAAGGTTACAAAACAACCGTCTCGTTTGGTCCACCAGTCAAGGCCAGATTTGTCCGGTTTCATCCAGTCACAGCCGTCATATGGACCTGTATGAGGGTTGAAGTATACACATTACAATAACGTGGCTGAGGGAAAATTCAGCGAAAGAGTTACAACGTGATTGCAACTGCTTTGTCCACACTAATGAAAAGCTTTTCATTTTTCAATTAAAGTAGTTTATAATCCATTGTTGGTTTTGATTCACATAGCAAGTCATGATCTGATAACATTAAAAGGAATGAAGAAAAAACAGATACAAAACTAATTCTTTTCTTGACTTGCTTTCTTTTAATCTTGAGCTTTTTATAATCAGACTCAGTTTTCTGGAAAAAAAAAACTAATTTTAGAATGCGCTGGGGACATATCTTTAGCTCTAGCAAGTTGTGTAAACACAGGACTGTATCGACGACAATATCGAAACTTTATGTGTTATTAGTCTTCTTAACATAGGCTTTTCTTGGATGTTCCTCGTGTTTAACGAAAAATTCCGCTCGCTTTGTCTGACCCATCAGTTATAGCTTTCAGTAATAATATAAAGAAAATTGATTTGCTTACCGATCTTTCCACTTGAGTTGACTCATCACTTCACCTAAATGAGATGGAATTTTTTTAAGTTCTACTAAGCCCATTTTCTTCCACAAGCATAGGTGAATCTTCAGAACCACCATTCTTCAAGATACATTTTCTTTCGATGGTGAGATAAGGACACTTTTCTGGGTTGTTTGATTCTACTCCAGAATTTTGCCAATTTTCTCGACCAGTATGTGAAGCTGTAGGTTTAGAGGACAGAAACTTAATCCCTATAGCAGAATGACAGCAAGTAAAATCACTGATGGAATTTTTTTTTCTTGTAATATCGCTATACAATATTGAGTTGACAGGCTTCTACTTAACACATGCAATCAGCTTAACGAAGGGATTTGTTTGTGTGCAGTATGCATTTGCAAGTGATTACGATGATGGTCCATAATTTTATAGTACACTCTCTGCTTCACGTACTTGTTTCCTTAATTGTGCTTTGTTTTTCTTGTTCTCGAAGAGATGATAGACTCACGGTAATTCAAATGTATTGGAACGAAATCGATTTATTCTGTCGTCTTGAAGCTCAATTAGAAACTAGTAAATGTAAAATGTATTTTGATCAGCACTGCCTTAGCTCGTTTCGAAGCGCTTTTTATATTCCGGTTATTAGCCCCCCTCGGACATAAGCCCTTCTTATATGTGCACGATCCTTCGCAGTAAAGCACTATTTGAGCAATAGTGAAAATCAGACCTGAAAAAAATTTCAGGCCTGTACGGGATTCGAACCACTGACCTCTGCGATACTAGTGCAGCGCTCTACCAATTGAGCTAACAAGCCAACTGGGAGCAGGCCATCAAATTAATTCGACATAAACCCGTAGATGATAAATCAAACAACAACAAACATATGAAACATATGTATGAACTACGGTTATGAAACGTATATGTGCACGATCCTTCGCAGTAAAGCACTATTTGAGCAATAGTGAAAATCAGACCTGAAAAAAANTAACCGCAGTTCATACATATGTTTCATATGTTTGTTGTTGTTTGATTTATCATCTACGGGTTTATGTCGAATTAATTTGATGGCCTGCTCCCAGTTGGCTTGTTAGCTCAATTGGTAGAGCGCTGCACTAGTATCGCAGAGGTCAGTGGTTCGAATCCCGTACAGGCCTGAAATTTTTTTCAGGTCTGATTTTCACTATTGCTCAAATAGTGCTTTACTGCGAAGGATCGTGCACATATACGTTTCATAACCGCAGTTCATACATATGTTTCATATGTTTGTTGTTGTTTGATTTATCATCTACGGGTTTATGTCGAATTAATTTGATGGCCTGCTCCCAGTTGGCTTGTTAGCTCAATTGGTAGAGCGCTGCACTAGTATCGCAGAGGTCAGTGGTTCGAATCCCGTACAGGCCTGAAATTTTTTTTCAGGTCTGATTTTCACTATTGCTCAAATAGTGCTTTACTGCGAAGGATCGTGCACATATACGTTTCATAACCGCAGTTCATACATATGTTTCATATGTTTGTTGTTATAAGCCCTTCTATTTATAAACCCTTAGTAAAACCCCTTTCGAAGTTGTATAAGCCCAGGGCTTATAAGCAGCAGTTTAGGGTAATGTTGAATGAGAAAAGTAAGACACTGAATTACAAAATAGAGAAAAAGCCTTAAAGTTAAAGCGTGAATTTATTGACTAAATTGCGAAAAGAAATACATCAGTTCTATCAAACTAAGACTACATTGATTTACTAACTAACTGGATGGGTTGAAGACTGACATAGTGTACTTCATGAATGTGTCCCAGCACAAGTGGTTTGCTTTCGTCAACTGGACAATGTGGCGTAATGATTACATCATTGTTGTGGGGTAGACTGCTGACTACACGAATACACATTTCATAGCAGTTTGCCGCGGCACACAGAATCACGTGATCACCCCAAGCGCCATCTTGTTCCATGTGTGTTAGGTATTCAGCCCATGTTTGATATCCATGGACAAAGTGAAACAGATCTGTTCCATCCGGCTGAAAGGAACATCAGTTAAAAGAACCAAACTTAAAGTGGATTGTTGATGGAAAATTAAGTGCGTGGAGTAATATGTCGGAATGGTACGAAACTGCTTTTGATTTACAATTTACTGCTTAGCAACAATTTTTGCGATTGAAAAGTTTTAAAAACATCCGCGTACGTTTTCATAGCTTCGCAACAGCAGAAAAACAACAAGATCTATCATTAAGAGAATAACTAGTATTCTGCTACTTGAAGCTGGTTTAAGGGAGTATTCTCTTTGTCTCACGCTCATGACAAGACGAAAACACCTTTCTCTATTTCTTTACCGAGCTCAAAACTTGCCATCTTTCTTATTCTATGAAACATTCTCATGACTCAGTAAAACTGGTAGCCTGCTACTTCGAACACCACATTCAGTACCAAATGAATTCATCTGTAACCAACATCACTGTGAGGCTTTTAAAATGAACCTCAACATTTCAGTTCCTCTTTCCACCAGGGGTACTAACTGGTATCAGAGTTTCTAAATAAGTTATTATTCCATGCAGTCAGATTAATGAAGACTTTGTCTCCTTTAGATTCTCTGAAGCTGGTATCAAGGTTTCTAAATAAGTTATCATTCCATGCAGGAGGAGTAGTAGTGCTCTTGGTCACTTCACTCTGTTAACACTAGGATAGGCTCTGGTGGGGTTGGCAATTTGGCCTGTATACACATTTAAACTTTATCATATACTCATAAAATAGCATCACGTAACATACTCTGTTAGACATACTAACATCGCCTTACTAGTTTTGGGTTTCCCTTGAGAAACTGGACCAAGGTTTGTCGTAATTCGCCATGTTGGATTTTGATTCCTTTAAGAATTGCCAGCTGATCTGACAGGGCATAGAACATGCAGTTTCCTGATCCTGGATTTTCAGATATTTTGAAGCCCGTGCGTGATGAAATCTTTCTCAGCTCCAAAGTAAGATCTTTCCTGTCACTGAATTTGTTCGCATCGAGTTGCATCTGCTGAAGATTCTGAAAGATTCGCTCCAGAGAATCTACAGGAGACAAAGTCTTCATTAATCTGATTGCATGTAAAACCAAAACAATCTTCAGCTTGAAAATAATAATTCTGACTTTATTACGAGAAAATTGGATATAAAAGAAAAGAAGGGTTTCAACCACCAGACAACCAGTTTTTAACTCAGCCTTAAAAGCGATACACTGGCACTCTGGGGACTTTTTAGCTTCAATATTTGTCCGTGAATGAATTCACTACACGAGAATTGTAGAAAATTATCGAGGGAGAAGTAGAGAAGAAACAAAAACGAAAAGGTCTACACTGACTGAAAATCATAATGTGAATTGCAGATAATAAATGAATATGATTGATCTTCGAAGTAATGAACAGTACTGACTTAAGCAGTAGTGAAAGTGAGGCCTCTGAAAAAATCAGGCCTGTACGGGATTTGATTTGAAGGTCTATACTAAAACCAATTTCGTGTTATTAGAAAAATAACATATCCTGAAAACAAATCTGGGCTTCGAAAAAATACTTGTGTATCTCCTACGCTATTGCGTCAGACGATAATTGCATTAGGAATAGTACACAAATCCGTTTTGATAAGAAAAGCTTTTAAACTTCAGCTTTGTTTTGACAAAAGCAGAATAAAGGCCCCAAACCTTCGTGTTAAGGGAAATTTATGTCAGTTCCAATTTAGTTTCCAGATTAAAAAGTAAAAGAAAATCAAGTTTGTGGAAACACGTTTTACGATTGTAACTGAAAATTACAAAGGTATGAATAATATCATGTCTCGTTAGAACAAAACATTACCAAAAGTACCAAATTCATAAAGCGTATATGGCCTGAAGTTGAGAGTTAGGGATATAAGAAATTGGATCTACTTGAAACCTGACTGTACTTCTTTGAGTATGAAAATTACCGTGTGTTACTAATACTTTGAACTCACTTAGAGATAGTAACGAATCACAGGTTACTTGCTCAGAAGTCGTTTCAGAAACGTCCCCTTCCTTGATTTTGAATCTCGTGTCATCTCTTTTCGATGCTGAAGAGACGAAATGAAACTTTTTCACCATTAGAGTAATGAACTAGTATAAAAGAGCTGATCTCTATTCAGGTTAAAAACACTTGTTGTACGAGATGTTCTTTGTTGTATGAATGCGTGTAGAGTGAATGTCCGACTTGATCTGTTAAATCTGTTTAATTTGTATAATCTGTATAATCTAGCTCATATGATCTGCTTTGAAAGATTTGTAGACTAATTGGAAACATGACAAAAACGAAACGCCAACAACAAACTAGAGCACATGGCTATACCATAATATGCAAACTAACCTAGTGCCGCGCGGGTAGGGCAAAAACTAAATATAACGCACTGCAATCAACAGCGCGAAAGCCCTGTAGCCACCAAAGCACTTTTTGAAGTATGTTCAAAATATAATATTCTTACCAAAGAACATGTCCCACATCTTATCCACAAGAATGTCACACTGTTTCTCCCAACTGAACTTCTCTCCATAGGAAGTCCTCAGTTGTTGAATCTCCTGAAGTCGGTCGGATCTTTCCTTCTGTCGAACAGCAGCAATTGCCTTTGCCCATTCCTTGGGGTCCTCAGACTCCACGACAAATGATTTGCCTGAATGAACAGTGCGCAATGCTTCACCAAATCCTGAGTTCCCACTGACAAGAATAGGAAGGCCAGCTGACAAAGCTTCTAATGCTGTTAAACCGAAGCCTTCTGTCCTGGAGGGCATGATGCAGAGATCAACTTCACAAAATAATTCCTTTAGTCTTTCTTTGCCTTGGACGAACTTCCTCACAGTCAGTTGACGTTTCTGGATTCCACTCTTCAACAAATTCCCTGCAACCTCATCCTGTTTCCCGTCAGGTGCACCCACGAAGATCAGACAGTAAGAACTGTCTCTTAGTTCAACTATTGCTCTGGCAGAGATATCGTAGCCTTTAAGGCTAAAGTCCTCTGGATCACCACGGCCAAAAGTCAGTACCTTGAACTTGCTACTCTCTTTTTGGGCTTGTTCTAAGTCGGAGAACTCGTGGAAAGTTCCAGGAGTCAGTTGAAGGATCTCTTTGTGGCCCTTGCATGAGCGTAACTGGGCGGAAAAGATGTCTTTTAACTTCGGTCCAACTGCCACAATAGCATCTGCCAACTTACATAAGTTCACTTCAGTTGTATTCTTCTCTTCAGCTCTGGAAATAGCCTTAGGATAGTTTTTGTGCATTCCAAGTTCTTCAGGTGCAGTGTGCACTATCTGAATCCACTTGCAACTGTGAGACTTTCTGATAACTTGGGCTTGCTTACCAAGCTTAGCTCCATGACCCAGCACAAAGTCAATGACAAGGTCTCTTGGTGGGAAACTCAACCAGTCAAGAGGGTCACTGAAGCCTGCAAGTTTCTCAGCCTCTTGGATGGTAACATTGTGGCTTCTTGCAGTTCTTTTATCTTCTTCGGAACAGGCTAACTGTGGGACTAGGAGGGTGACATCCAATTGATAGTGCTTGGCCAACATAATAGCAAGGTGTCTGTTTATGGTGGACAAACCTCCCATCGATGAACTCCACTCACTGCCCAGGAGAGTCACCTTCAATGCTGTTTTAGACCTCGTTGGACTGATTTCACTTGCTTTACCATGTGATCTAGCAGCTAAATTTGAAGTGGACAAACCCTGAATAAAAAAGGGTTATAGAGGATTATGACGGTTGATTACATAAAAAATTTTGGGTGTAGTGCTATATATTTATCTTCACCAATACCTTACCACGGAAAAACAAAAAGAAATTATTTTGATAGAGATTCTAAAGACTTATTTTCGGAACTTGGGACAACCAACGATGACAACAGCCCATTTGATTCGCAGATCAAGTAAACTAGAGGAGCAAAGCAAATATGAATCAGAGGGTAGAAATTTGTGCTTGAAAATTAATTTAGCATAATCAATTATACCTGGCTCCTTCCTTTCAATAACCATTTCTCCAATCCATAGAGTGGAAGTACTTTGTCCCCAAGTTTTCTTTTACAGATTGCTGCTTGGCCTTCATTTGCATCAATGAGGTGGAAGCAGTCCTCGTGTGTGCAAGTAGTTTTCACGTGATCGGAGCATGGACGACGTTGTTCTTCTGTCCCTTGATGACAGTAAGGACATGCAACACACAATCTATACTTCAGTCCTCTAAGATATGGCATTTCTTGTGACAAATCCTGTAGGGTGCCTTCAATAAATTTACGAACACGAATTGCTAGCTCGGCGGAGTTCTGCGCTATTACCTGATGACTTGGTGTTCTTTGTCTTAATACTACCTTCACAAATCCTGTTTTGCTGGTGAGGACAAAATCATGAATATCTTTCCCAATGATGAACCATGCTCCATTTTGGAACAGGGTAGGTTGATGCATGGGCCATAACTTCGAGCACCAACGAATGGATCGTGAGACAACCTGCAAGAAGAGACCATGAGGGACAAAGCCATGGACAAAGAGGAGATATAAGGGACATGGATCATTTAATGATGGTTTCATCTCACAGAGTTCTTCAGGTGATGACTTAAGTTGAGCTGGTACAAAGTACTTTATATCAGTTGGGGAAACTGAGAACTTAGCGATCAAACCGAACCGCTCCATCATGTGCAAGATGTCTTCTTTGATGATACCTGGTCCAATACAGCTGGAGAACACATGATCAACATGTTCCATGCTGAGGATGCCAGTTCCTTCAAGTTCTCGCCAGTACTTAGCATATAAGGCATTCTATAAAAATACACAACAATTTCAAATATAGAAGAGCCACTGAATGATTCCTTTGGCAAAGTAGCATTATCGAAAGGCAGCCCAGAGAAATGAGCAATGGTTGTTTGATTGTATTTGAAATCCACATTCAGTCATTGAATTGAATAGGGAAACATGATTACAGCAACGATGTGTCTATTTTGCTGTTGAAACCCAAAGTTACTCCTACACTACCGGTCGATGTCGCGTAGTTTTGGTCTGAAATCATACTTGTAATTTTGCATGACTGACTTCTAACCAAATTGCACTCCTCTCAATTAAATTATCATTGTATAACTTACATGAACAAGAACTAAGAAAAATAGTGTAACGATATCCTGAAAATGGTAGGAAATTCAACTCTTAACAGGATACATGGGATTTTTCTTAACAGAAGTTGTTAATCAGCGACGCACTCGCTATGCAATTAAAGTGTGTGGAAAACACTGGTGTCCGGTCTTTTCGTCCGAGAGTCTTTTCGTCCAAAAGTATTTTCGTCCAAGTCTTTTCGCCCAAAAGTATTTTCACCTAAGTCTGTTCGTTTACTTGTGAAGTCTTTTCTCGAAGCAAATAAATGACTTTTAGAAGGCTAGAAAAGGCTGTAGAAAGAACTTGTTGCGAGCCGTCGCCATTTTGGTACCGATACCTTTAGTCACCAATCTTCGTTTACGAATTCAACGTCATGAATTTTACGATAAATACACAGAGAATGAATGAAGTTGTAACGCAATATACTTTATTAAATAGTGGCAAAAGTAAAGACTTGCTTGCCGTTTAATTATTTCACGCGAAAGAAATGGGAATATTAGGCTTGTTGTTAATCTTCCATTGAGCGTAAAAGGGCAACGAAGTGTAACATCACTACGTGAATGGCTCGCAACAAGTTCTTTTTATAGCCTTATCTAGCCTTCTAAAAGTTATTTATTTACTTCGAGAAAAGACTTAACAAGTAAACGAACAAACTTAGTGAAAATACTTTTGGACGAAAAGACCGTAATTCAACACTCTTCCTTTGAGTGATTACACAATTGTTGTTGTAGCAATTCAATGAAAATCACTTAGAAATGAAAAAGGCTAAATCAAATAATGACATGAAAAGAGGTAAATAGCAAATGAAATGTTTGGGGTCAAAAAGAGAAATGCATGTTAAAGGATGCGGAAAAGAATGCTCAGCTGTGGTATTAGCCCATTTCTTAAAAAAAACTCATCACTCATCAGACTTTTCTATTGGTCTAAATTATTGAAAACATTTTTTCAAGAACCACTCTTTAAAATGAAACTAGTTTTTGTACCTCTTTATTGAAAGGTGGAATCGTTATCAGCTGCTTGAACACATCAATCAGCCACTGAGCCTTAAGAACAACTGTACTGCGGTGCTTGATTATCATCCCAAGGCCATGGTAGAAACTGATCATGGAGTCAAATTCATTTGCATCTTCCATGAAACACTCTTTTCTGGCATAGTGCTCAAGTTGATTTAGATTTCTGTGGTAAATCTGTTTCGCCACCAAAGCTTCAATCACCTTTTCGAACAAAAACCATCTTGAAGACAACAAAATAAAATATGATGTACGTTTTATGGCATAAAATTGGGTATTCAGTCTGATCGCATACAAATATATATTTGTAGGCTGACTGTGTGAAATTCTTCATATTGAATACAATGCTTGCTATTCAAAAAACTTTTCATGGCACTTTGAATTAAATATTGGTCCTGAAGTCCAGGAAACTGGGTTTTTTAAATAAAATGTTATTTTCATTTAGCTGACTGGTATTTTCTCCCCCATATAGGGTTCCTGCTGTAACACTTCCAGGATTTTGTTCTGCAATTCGGTTATTCCATCTGCTTTTGATCCTTCTTGCTTTGCTAGATATAATGATAATAACAATTAAGTACTTCAAAGCATATTACCGTATTTACCCGTGTATAATGCACGCCCATGTATTATGCGCACCCTTGTTTTTAACCTAATTTATCACAAAAAAGTTTTCACGGCAAAGACAAGTTAAATATTCGTACAATTATTCATTAAGACAACAAGAATAAGAAATTTACTGTATCGTTAACATCAGTGTTACTTAGTCATTTATGACATTATTGAAACCAAACTTTAGGACTTCAAGCGAGGCCTAGCTAATTTGACGATTCCATGGCCCGGTAAACATTATGAGTGAGCAACAATATGTCCGAAAAGTACTTATGTGTTTACAGTCAACTAGAAGTGATAGTAAATTTGCATTATTATATTGTATGATAAATTGCAAAGATTTTGTATTTGACCTTTTAATTATACTGAGGTCAGATTAAGTCTTTAAACTTAAGGTCTTCTGTTCCTTATTCTGAACTCTGAAATTAAACAAATCTGTCAGCAAAAATTTCTGTGGCCCAGTTTGGTGCTGCCACACTGGTGCCCTTACTGGGTGGCAATATAGTAGTTATGAATTTTTAGACACCTCAGACTAGTGATAAAAATATAGCGTAGCTTGAAGCTATGCAGAGTGCAGCTAACCAAAACAAGCAACCTAACCCACTTTCTTCCATTATTAGGACTATTAGCCTTAACTCATCCAACCTGGGCAGCAACCTTTAACCCCTGACCACTAAAACTTTCTGTGTGACTCTCAACCAACCATTTAAAACTAAAATAAAACAAAACACAACCATTTAATTAACATAAATGCGAGTCAGACATGCTTACAGTGTTTGCCAGACATCCTTGAAATAGGCCTTTGATTAAAAAACTCTAGCTGTTAAGTGTTCTAAGAACTGACTCAAAGACTAAGCCGTAAGTAACTCATGCAGGTGAAGGATACAATATGAAATCAAATTTCTTACCTTTTTTATGTTTCCCTCTTTGTTTTTTACTCTTGTGTATAAATTTCTTCAATTTAGTCCAGTTTGGCCTGTGTGATTCTGTGTTGTCAATGCAGAACAGGGGTCTGACTACATGCTTCTCATATTCCATACCAGAGATTCTCTCCTGAATTTGTTTCTTTATCACTGCTATGTCTTCAACTGGTTTGTCAGCATGTGTGCCTACAATGAACACTAAGGGGCGCAGGTAGGGCAGCTTGTGTTGTGCATCATCGTCATTGACATCAGTTGCTTGGGCAACACTATGGATTGTAGCCAGCCATGAAAGCAAATTCTCCATGTTCGTTTCATTGTTGGGATTTTCCAATTTCACAACGTTACTTCCTTGTCTCATGCACGGCTCAGCTGGGGCATCCAAAGGCTTGCTGAGATTGTGCACCAATATGTAGAGAGCTCGCTGTGATAGAAAGATAGGATGGCTGGCATAGTACATATGCTGTCCTGCAAAGTCCCAAATGTCCATTGTAACATAAGATTCTTCAGTGAATGAATCACTTTTGATGGGCTTGCCTTGGGCATACCTTAACCACTGTCGAACATGCCTCACAATATCAAGAGGTTGAGCAACATCAATAATTACCTCTGGCTCATCTAACATGCAATACTCCACTGAACGTTCGATGCCACTGTTGTGGAAAACATCTACTGACAGGCAATCTCCCTTATTCTCAACCTGAATAGAGAATCAAATAATTAAGACCAAATTAATTACAACTGTAATTTAGTAACGCAGTGATGCATTCAGTTTGCCACCAATCTCAGTACAGATCTGAAATAATTTTTCAGAAGTTTAGCTACCTAAATTATAAAATAAAGATACAATGACTGTTGGTGTGAAGGAAATTATTGTTTGACCAAGTCATTAGTCAGAGCCCAATATGTGCCCGGGGGGGGGGGGATTGGGTACTCGCATGTATGGGCCATATAGGTACGTGCTGCGGAATAGGGTGTGGTTTTTGAGGTTCTCGGTCCTTAAATAGGGTATCTTTTATTACCCTTTTGTTTCTGTGTCCATGGTGTGGTCCTTAGATAGGGCAGCTTAATTGTATTATCTAATACTGGAATGTGAAAACACCCGCCTAAATGCACGGTTTTTTTTTAACTTGATGTATCCGTTTAAGTATTGTAACAAAATGATTTTGCAACAAAGGTTTAATAGCCGTTAAGCGGGTAAATACACGTAATGCCTCTTCAAGCCACATTATTAATTAATAATATGACTGTCGTTCATTTAATTGACAGAACTCTCACAACACTTAGCTTAATGAAATAAGGAGTGATAGAAGGGTAACGTTTAGCCGCGATCAAAGTTCAATACAAATAGAGTAGGTAGAGACACTCTAGTACGAATAATCCTGGCTGTAATCCGCTGTAATAAACAGACCGACTGAAAGATGTATCATGGTTATGATTGCATATTATGAAACTAGGCTTATTCTAGTATTTTATGCTTGATGCTATACATCCAATGTTACAGAGAAGAAATATTAAGTTTTCCTTTTCATGCTACTAATAATTTTGTTTTTTCCTTGAATAGGGTGTCATTTTTCGGCTTTGGGCCTTAAAAGGGTATCAGTTTTCGCTTTCTTACTCCTTAAATAGGGTCAGGGTTCACAAACCTTCGCGACACACCCCTATCCAAAATTCGCGGGAGTACCCCCCCGGAATATGTGCCACATCCAAGGACATGCACTTCATGGTCAGTGATAAATAAACCTTGATCACAAGAAATTCATTGCAGAGACTTCTCAAATATCTCAAAACTGAGCATGCACCAAACTCTTGAAAGAGCTGCTGCATGAAAATGCATCCCATATGTAAAATAGCTGCTTGTTTCCCAGCAGCAACATTGTGATATAAAAAAGACACCCTAAAAGGTAACATGGAAGCACATCATTCAAACTATTTATTTTGCTATATTAAAGCACTGCATAAACATGCATGCATATGGTGCTGTATGTGTTATTTATTATGACTATAATTTCACACCTCACTGTCTGCTAGTATAAAGACTTGAAATACAAAGACTAACATTTGTAAAGTTGTGTAATTTATGCTGTGCATAATACATTATTTGCATTAATGACCAAGCATGAGGTCAAGGCGGCTGGATATATTGGCAGAGTTCTTATTTTGTGTTTTTATCACCAAGAACAAAGCTTCTTGGTCTATAAACTATTTAACATAATAAGAAAAAAAATTACTTGTTTATTTTGAGAGCTAGGAAAGCCAACCAGTTGTCTTTGTAGCACAATGTTAAACATGCAACAAGAGTCATTTACATGCATGTATGTGTACCAGTAGTTTTTTGTTTTGACTGTGATCGATCTTCTGCCCCTTTTTGTGACTCCATAGTTGACATATTTGTCCAAAAACTACAAGCATTTAGTACATTTTATGTTCCACAATTAAAACTGCTGTAAGTGAAGAACGTCATTTTAAAATTCCAACATCACCTTTATTCTGTCATACAAGTAACCTTCAAAAGATCCTTCTTCAAAGTCTGCAGGTGAAATGTGGGCTGAATTTTTCTTAAAATCTTCTCTTGAACAGTCATCTGTATCTTCTTCTAAATGCTCTTTTGAATCTTCTCCTGAACTTCCTTCTGAATCTTCCTCTTTCGAACTTTCTTCTGACATAATCAGTTTCTCAGCTGGCATGTTAATCATTTCCTCTGCCATAATCTTTGCTATGTCTTTAGAACATTCCATAAGCAGTCCCGGTTTATTCTCACTGGTAATGGAATGCCAGTTCCTTGCAACTTGGTCAACGCCTATTTCACACTTTGAAGGATCCACTTCAATCCCCTCAGTACTCTGTTCTTTAGGGTCAAATGGAAGGCCTAAGAGACTCTTCTTCAAACTGGTTTTACCAGCGCGATCCTGACCGACCAGTAGTATTCGACCATGGTAAACCTTAATATATCCATCTTTCAAGGCCTTTCTATAAGCCAGCTTTGAAAATAGTCCTTCTGCTCGTGGTATAAACTGAAATGCTGATTAGAAAAAAATCTCATCAATTTAAAAAAAATCTGACCAAATTAAGCAAGCAACAACAACGAAAAAAAAATGATAATCAACAGTTCCATATATGCCTATATAAAAAAAAATAAAATTAATTTCGTTTTTTGCCAAATTGTTAAAATAAGCTTTTCCACACCTAACAGTAACTTTAACAGTAGTTGCTTAATATTCTGCTCAGGCTTCATTGTATAACTATTGTCAGTTGACTTAGTGTAATAATTTAGCAGAATAATATTGTAACAATCAATTCAAACCTTCAACATCACCTCCAGTAAACCCACAGGAATTTGACTGTCATCCAAACCCCAGGGGTGCATTGAACCCTGCTTGGGTGAGTTAGGGAATTTGAACCAGGTTTCAAGGGGGGATGTTGAAGCTTCAAATCGATCGCTGCATAGTCACTTGCAGGTCAATAATGCATTTGTTGCAATTTTAATGTGAACAGGAATTGACCTTTCTCACCTGGGAAATCTGAAAATACTTTGTTTATCTTATCCTTGAGCTCCATAACACTTCTCATTCCTTCAACTGTAAAAGGATTCCCATCCACATGCAACACATTGAGTTTCTTCAGCTTTTTCATACCCATACTTAACATAGACAACTGGTTAAAACTCAAATCCAGTCCCTCCAATTCCCCCATCTCACCAATAGCATCGGGGATTGCAGTGAGTTTGTTATATGAGATGTTCAGCCATTTGAGTTTCTTCAGCTGTGTCAAACTTACAGGGAACATGAAAAGCTGGTTATCTGTCACATCAAGTCCAGTAAGATTAATTAATTTTGTAATATTTTCAGGTATTGTTTTAAGCAAATTACATTGAAGGTTAAGTTCCTCCAACTCAATTAGTTCCAGCACAGCAGCAGGTAACTTATACAAACTGTGGTGAAACAGACTTAAAATGTTTCTTCCATCATCTGTTATGATGATCTTTGTCCTCAGCTCTTCTTTTGAGAAGGATTCCATGTCTTTAGATATATAACTGTCAGAACATAAAAACAAGCTTTCAGTAAAGATAAGTATGTCGCTTATAACTTGAACTATGTTGTTTATAATGGCACTATAACTAAATCCAAACATGGAATGATCATCCCTTAGCCTTCTCCTTCCAATATTGTGTGCATGATGTAACCTGCCTTAAATGACCAGTAAATTATTATCTTTAAAAGCATTAGCCAGAGCACTAAATTTAAATGGAAACCATATGCATATACAATAACAAGTCAGTTGAATAGGACAGAAATAAAGAATGTTGAGAAATTTTGTATAATTTCATCTGCCCATCACTGATGCAATTGGTGCTAGGAGGCCTTTAGTTTAATTTGTTTATAAAATATCTGCATGAAGATCAGAATGATCATGTATTCAATTTGGATTTCTTAGAAATTAAAAATGTATTTCAAATTCTTTGAAATGAGGTCTGAAAAAAATTGTTTGGAAACAGTTAGACTGTTGCTATTGACTCAAACAGATGCAAGCTATAGCTAGATTTATCAATTAAGGTAAAGAGTTTGAAGATGGACTATTGTAATCATTATGCTTTAATTCAGCTCTACCTCAAACAATGTTTACACTTCTCTTAATTATACTCTTCAGACTTCCAGTCTGTTATTCATGCAGTGTTACCTCAGTCCATAAACATGCAGGCGTGCATACTAAACATGAACCATATAACTCTTGACACTGTATTAAATCTATAACCTTTCAGCAAGTGAACAAAAACTGCCATGAATAATAAAGAAACTAATTTCAGAATGTAGACATTCTAACAGCTAAGCTTGCATGTTGAGAACACTCCCTTGAAAACTCACTTTATGGTTTCAAAACCCAGTAGGAATTTTAAGGAGATGTTCAGTTCAAGGTTCATTTATTTTACACTATTTACATAAAATTAATATATATTAAGAAAAGTATAATTGCAACAAATGATTACAGAATAAAATAAATAAAGTATACAGATTATTAAAATGTGTGTGGTGGTCAAAGTAGCGAAGGCTTTCTAGTTGGCCACCACCTACTTTTAGATAAACAAAGAAATAGCACTGAGCTAGGATTGATGTGCGAGAGAGAATTACATGTATATAAATTAAGGTGTGTTAGAAATTATACTGAACCAAGCAAGAAATCTAAACAGATAGGACTAGCTAATAAGAGAAAAACAGACACACATATAAACAAACAAACAACAGTAACAACAATGAACAAAAGCAGAAACAGAGACAAAGGAGAGGAAAAGAACAACACATCATCATATCAGCAACAACAGCAGCAACAGACGTGGCAACAAAGACCAAAATATAAGCAGACAATTATTATTATTGTTATTATTAACTCTGTTATTTTTATAGTTATTTACATATGGATTGTTACATACTACATATTTGATCACTAAACAGATCATATTTATTTTTGATTAACGAGAGATCAGGTGGGCCATATAATTAAGACATATATAACGTTTCTTAGACCTGTTAAATGTTTTTATTTTTTTCAATGCCAATTAGGGGACTGAGCTGATTGAGTTTCCCATATAACAGATTTAGAAGCAGAGTACTTAAAAGTAAATTTGCCTATGTTAGCTCTGACTTGTGGTTGGTGGAAATTAAGCTTGGCAGATTTTCAGGTGTTATAGGAGCTAGCTATTAAAAAATTATGGAAAATTGCTGGAACAGTTGCTGGATTGTTATATAATTTAAATTCAAGTGAGCACTGATTTTGAATCTTAAACAACATTTTCAAATTTTAAAATTTCAAGAATTTGGTAGTAAGAGAAAGAGGGTTCCCATTTGTTTGCAAAAACTGATACTTCGGATGCATTTATTTTGTTTAGTACTCAGATCTTATTTAAATTAGTCTGATAAGTGTTGCCTCGACACACTGCACCACAATTAAGATAAGGGTAAATAAGTGCATATATATAAGTACAATTGTCTTAGCATCTTTAAATTTTGGCAATTCTGCAGTTGGTAGAAGATTCCAACGTTTTTAGTAAGTTTGCTTTGTACATGACTGTGCTATTTGAGATTTGTTAATTACATAGACAGTTTATTAAGGTTGCAGTAGTTAATTACTTTCTGAAGTTCTGCAGAGTTCATAACTGCCTCAAGATCTTTTGATGTTTTAGTGGCATAGAAAAGGCTGAAGTAGATTAAACTCAGACAAGAGGTTTGATAATTTATGATATCATGTGAAAACTGAATTCAATAAAAAATTAATTGTTTTACAAGAACATTCTTTAAACAATCTACAAAAAAGACACCTCTCAGCAAAAGTTTGAGAACACTATAGCTATATAAGGATGAGAGGCTTGGAAACTGGACAGACTTTGAACTCAACGTAATAAATGCAACCCATGACACCCAGCAGATATATTGCATAATATCATGTCAACTCAGCTACTGTATATTGATTGAATGCTCTGAACCAATCAGCTTTTTCAGAGTACGTCGATCTTATGTATAATTATAAAATTTATATTGAAAAAGCATAGGGAAGTGTTTGTTCCTGTACTTCACAAACGAAAGACATAGACCACTTTCATAAATGGCTGCCGTATATATATTCTTTGTATTAAATATTCATTGTATCAAATATTCTTTTGTTTAAATTTAAATTAGCCCTACTGGCCTTGCTTGAGATAATGTATTCTTTTGAATTTTGTACTGGAGAACGAGGCCAGTAGGGCTAATTTAAATTTAAACAAAAGAATATTAATCCGGCAGCCATTTATGAAAGTGGTCTATTATACATGCAAGTACTGAAAAGTTTTGGTTTGAATTGCACATTTAAAATATTGTGCGGTTATTGCAGTACATCTTGGCACGAAAGAATTTAATTAAATCGCACATAAATGAACTGAAAAGCGTTAAGACTTTTCATCTGTCAATCACGGAAGCAGAGCATAAAATGAATCAATTGCATGAAATTGGTTTCTTGTTAGGTTTGGTGTATTTCTAATATCTGTCAAATAAGATCAAGTAAAATCCTTGGAAACCAGTAGGTTTATTGTCATCAGTTCAAACACTTCTATGGTCTGACGTGAAAACTCAAAGAAACCGACGTTCAACTAATATCAGACAGAACAATTACATTACATGTAACGATCAATTCATTGACGTCAACACGATCAGAAACAGTTTTTCCCTCACATTCCAATAATATTCCTTCGGGATTCAATTTATTTCTCAAAAAGTCCTTTTATAAAGGCTTTCCATATAATAACTGTTTTCCTTTCCCTGTTGCCAAGAGTTTTTTTTTACTGCAGGCTAAGGTGCCTGTTACAGTTTAGGTCGACTGATCACTTGAGTCTTAAAACTTAATAGAATGTGTTAGCTCTGCATTTGACTGGCGTTGCCTAAGTATGAACTATGGTTCAGAATCCCACAAACTTGAGATGCAAAGAGAAACGAGAGATTGTTGGAGATACCAGAGAGTTTCAGTAAACTGCATGATAGAAAATGATGGCAAAATCATTTTGGGGTAAATGACTTTATAGTTCGATCGAGCGGAGAATCGGAGTTTATATCAGGTCAATTATCTTCGTTCGCGTTTCAGGAGTCTAGGGAGGCTACATTTTACAAGTAAATTAAAATTCTTATATGAATTAAACAACATTCTTACCTTTCAGCAAAGTAAAACGATAGTTATAGCGAATGAAAACGAAATTAAATACAACTTGTCATCAGTCTAACTGCTAGGTTCGTTAGAGACGCTTCTTTGGTCAACTCCAAGTTATATTGGATGTCACTGATGTCACGCGACCATTCAAGCGTTGACGAGTACATGGGCAGACAAGAGCAATTAAGGTTTGGGGGACGGGATTGTCAACGTGCTGCTTCGGCGGACAAGTGAAGCATTTTAATGATTTGAGGAAATGAGAATGTTTCAAACTGATATTTCCTAACGGACGCTAACGGCTCTAACATATTTTCAAAAGTTGTTCAAGCGTTGGAAATTCATTACAGCAGAGCCATGGAGGTCGATTGACAAAAAGAAGGAAAAAATTAATAATTACTATCGTAATACATCGAATATTTTTGCTCGCGCGCATATGGTCTAGACGCATCACGTGATCGAATATGCCTCAGCGAAAACTGAGGAATTTCCGAGAATATACCTCAAAAGACATTTACCAATTTTCAAACCTCTAGTTTTCTGACTGACTGGTTAACTAGCTTGCCAACTACTGACTGAATTACTGATTGACTAGCTCCCTGACTGACTGACTGACTGACTGACTGGTTAAAAGACTTACTGTCTGACTGACTGGTTAACTGACTTACTGACTGACTGACTGGTTAACTGGCTTACTGACGGACTGTTCTACTGACTGGTTAAATGGCTTACTGATTGACTGGTTAAATGGCTTACTGATTGACTGGTTAAATGGCTTACTGATTGACTGGTTAAATGGCTTACTGATTGACTGGTTAAATGGCTTACTGATTGACTGGTTAAATGGCTTACTGATTGACTGGTTAAATGGCTTACTGATTGACTGGTTAAATGGCTTACTGATTGACTNGGTTAATTGGCTAACTGACTGACTGGTTAACTGGCCAACTGACTGACTGTTCTACTGACTAACTGAGTGACTGACTGGTTAATTGGCTAACTGACTGACTGGTTAACTGGCCAACTGACTGACTGTTCTACTGACTAACTGAGTGACTGACTGGTTAATTGGCTAACTGACTGACTGATTAATTGGCTAACTGACTGACTGGTTAACTGGCTAACTGACTGACTGGTTAACTGGCTAACTGACTGACTAGTTAACTGGCTAACTGACTGACTGTTCTACTGACTAACTGACTTACTGACTGGTTAACTGACTGACTGATTTATCGATTGACTGACTGACTCGTTGTCACTGACTGACTGACTGATTGGCTGACTGACTGAAGAGAGAGTGTAACAAGCTGGTACAGACCTATAATTCAAACATTTTAGTGCAGAGATGCAGGGAATAACATCCAAAATCAAAGATTTCCTGATTTTAGATATCAGATTTGTTTTGAGATGACAGCTGTTGTAAAAAAACTTATATCGGGTAATGAGATATATGATTTACTAAATAAAAATCAATTTTGTTTGTTATGTTTTAGCATAAATCTAGTAATTAATAATAACTCCCTTATTTGTAAGCATTTGTAGAGTTGTGCTTGCATATATATGTTTCACATATTTTGCACACGTTCTGCATATACGCTACATGCATATGTTCAATATATGTAGCATATATGTGACCTCTGTTAAATATATGTGACATACATGTGACATATAATGGACATGTGTCTCATATAGGTGACATATATATAGTCAAAATTTTTATATGTATTTTATACATATATGTGGCGTATATGTGAAGAATATGAAAAAGAGGGGCCAAATACCTACATTTCACACATGTAAGGGTGACCTTTATTTCTCCAAGATAGAACTGATGTGTTCTCGCGACTGTTTCGTCAGTTTCCGGCCCACTTTTTGGATTCTCCTTCATATAAATGTGGTGTTTCATATAATTGTTTTGTTAGTATCTCCTCCTTTTATCAGGAGTATCTTTTATGCGATTGATGCGTTATTATGCACTTCTATAATTTTCATTCATTCGATTTTTTTCTTTATTATCTGGCGCACTTTAAGGCCTATTCCGCCGGTTAAAATGCTGGGAAAGGAGATCAAATCTGTAACCGTGACCAAAGACCTGGGTGTGATTATTGACCCCTCACTAAGTTTTAATGCATGAGCATGTGATCAAAACAGTCTTTGATTGTATGCATAGGTTAATTAGGATCAGCAGAATTATAAGCACCTTCTTGATTGGAAGACGCTACTTTCGCTAATTAACGCTTTTGTTTTCAGTAAATTATTTTACTGTTCCTCCGTATGGAGCAATAAATCTAAAACAAATGTGAAAGGACTACAGTCGGTTCAGAACTTTGACGGCAGGATAGTACTCGGCCTCAGAAAGTACGATTGCATTTCTGCCGGAAGGCTTGAAGTCGCTGAAATGGCTTCCTATTACCGATAAACTTTTTTTAAATGATTCTGTTATGGTTCACAAGTGCTTAAATGGACTGGCGCCTGACTATCCCAGTCAAAAATTTACAAGGAGACTAGAACTACCTAACAGAAACACACGAAATAAAAAAGATCTGAACCTACCAAGATGCCGGTTAAAAACTTAGCAGCGATCGTTCGCCTACAGAGACGCTGCATGTTGGAACAGTCTCCCCAAAGACCTTAAGGAGGCAGCGGACGGTAAAATCTTCAAGAAGAGACTTTTCAATATGCTTTTATGCTTGTAAGACATATGCATCCTGTTGCTGTTGCAGAATGATGGTCTTAAGGCATTCATTTGATGAAAAATTTCGGTCAACCCGAAGCCTGAATTTCTTGGCTCTGGAGGGTAAACACAATTCAATATGCTCTGGAGTTTACATTTCTCAAACTAAGTTAAATAATTTTGTTTTAAATGTCTGAGAAGTCAAAAGTGTCATAATAATGTCTTAAACTATTACGCCTTTTGATAAAGCTCTTGGAGCTTAATTATTGAATGTCACGTCCCTTAAGACTATGCACTAAACTTTGTCAGGTTTCAAAATGGAACCTCATTTCAATTTAAGCGGTTAAACCCTTGAGGCCTAAGTGTTATAAAGTTGAGTCTTAAAACCATATTAAAAGTGTAAACTTCAAAAAGTAGATGTTGTTTTGTCAAAATTCTTTGTGCGCTTTTCATTAAATTAGGTGGAAATATTTTGTGATCCAATTAAGATCTTCGAGTTTAAGTACTAAAACTGTCTGAGCTACAGAGGCTAAACAGCCGGAAAATTATAATTAATAGTATGTTCCAAGTTTGATTTGGGTTTTTCAAATTGCTTCCTGAGTTTATTTTTAACTGACAGATTTTTTTTCACGCGATTTCAATAAAAATTTCAGCGCAGGTTATGTACACGAGGTCCAGCCTAAACCAAAGAGTTACGCAATCAGTGGGCCTCGGGCTTTCTCTTTAAGGGAATGCAGGCTGATAGTTTCTAAAGAAACTGTTTGGGGCTGCGTCGGTGGGGGTAACGAAATAATTTGGATATATCAACAAAGTTGAAATGGTAAATTGGCCACCGTAACGATTACAAAAGCTGACGTTTCGAACGTTAGCCCTTCGTCGGAGCGAATAGAGGAATTGACTGACGTTTTGTGGGTTGTGTGTACTTTCAAAAGCAGAAAATGGAGCAACGTTATTGGTGGGAACATGGCAACGAGAAAAACAGGAATAAATTATGAAAAGTGTTCTTTGATACCTGTGGGATGTAGACTGCCGGTTTGAAAGATGAGCCTTTGTTCAAGAGTTTTACGGCTTTCCGTGCTGCCCAGATTAAAAAATAAACATTCAAGGACGTATTTTGAAATTTGTTGAATAAATGAATAACTGTTCATCATGCTCTTACGAAGGAAGTGTAACACAAAAGAACGCAACGATGACAATGACGCACTGTAATTTACCTGTGGAGGAAAAAAAACCACAAGAAATTAATGCATTACTACCCTCTCCGGCGTAAAAGAAAAACGAAATTAAACGTGCGCAATTGGAATTAAAAGCATTCTCATTCTATCATACAAGGACAAAGACATATGGACACTGAGTTATTCCTTACTGACCAAGCATAGGTATCCGGTCTTTTCGTCCAAGAGTCTTTTTGTCTAAAGTCTTAGGTTCATTCGTCCAATATCAAGTCTTTTCGTCAAAGTTACAACTTACATTAATTAAAATGAAGTTGTAACGCAATATATTTTATTAGATAGTGACAAAAATAAAGACATACCGTTTAATTAACAATTATTCCACTCGCGCTTGTTGGATATGAGATGATAGATAGCCAACGAGGCGCATAGCGCCGAGTTGGCTATAATCATCTCATATCCAACAAGCGCGAGTGGAATAATTGTTAATTAAACGGTATGTCTTTATTTTTGTCACTATCTAATAAAATATATTGCGTTACAACTTCATTTTAATTAATGTAAGTTGTAACTTTGACGAAAAGACTTGATATTGGACGAATGAACCTAAGACTTTAGACAAAAAGACTCTTGGACGAAAAGACCGGATACCTATGCTTGGTCAGTAAGGAATAACTCAGTGTCCATATGTCTTTGTCCTTGTATGATAGAATGAGAATGCTTTTAATTCCAATTGCGCACGTTTAATTTCGTTTTTCTTTTACGCCGGAGAGGGTAGTAATGCATTAATTTCTTGTGGTTTTTTTTCCTCCACAGGTAAATTACAGTGCGTCATTGTCATCGTTGCCACATAACCAACAATATAGTCCAACATGATAGAGAAATAAATAAAACTAAGCTAAAACTGACCGCAAACAAGCGTATTCTCTGTGTATTTATCGTAATTCACGACCTTGAATTCGTAAAAGACGATCGGTGACTAAAGCTATCGGAACCAAAATGGCAACGGCTCGCACTAATAGGTTCTTTATATAACCTTATGTAACCTTCTAAAAGTTATTTATATGCTTCGTGAAAAAGACTTAACAATTAGACGAACCAACTTAGATGAAAAAGCTTTTGGACGAAAACACTTTTGGACGAAATGACCGTAATTCGACCAAGTGACCAGCCGCACGGCGCATCGATCTGCAGTAGTCTTAAGATTTGAGACTAATAATAGGCAAAAAAAAAAAACTAAGGTGAAACGAATTGATGACGTCTTG